TATCTAGGAAACCAAGTCAGCGGAGAAGTTGTAAAGCATCTTTGATTGTTCTTGAGCCCTGTCCCTGGAGGTGAACTCTGGTTTTAGGCATCATCAGAACTCCTAGGTTCCCCAGGGAAGCAGCCGCTCATCTGACCTAGCACTGAGACAAGGTGAACGCAAAGCCACTCCAAAATACTGCTGAGCACCCAGCCATGGACACTGGCACAGCATCACACATGAATCTGAGACCCACATGTGTCATCACCGACCCACACATACATCTATGCATATACATTCTCATATACACATCATGACATGACACATTTGTGTGGCCATATGTTTACATGGCACATGAATGCTTACACTAGGAACATACCCATACATTGATAAAACACATTCTTGCAAGGATGCACATGCCTAGAGCCACACACATTCAGACCTGCTTGCATATGTGTTCACACACATGCTATCCCTTTCATGTCTCTTCTTGTCCTCCCTTCAGCTGCCTCAGGCTAGTGTTCTGCTGTACTCTTCACCCACTACAGAGAAAACTTTGAAAGGCAAGCATCAAAGAAGGGCAAATGTCACATGAATACCGCTTTTCATCCCATGCATATGAAGCAGTATGTGGCTGCCTATCTTAGCTTGTATGTATCTGGCAGTCTGAAGGGCTCTTGCTCCATGTAAAGCAGGGAACAGTCTCTTTGTGACATTGTGGATATTTTTCTGTGCATATCCGTGCATATTTCTGGAAGGATTTATGTGTGTCTATACCCATCTGTGTGAATCTGTGACAGTGGAAGATTTCCATATCTTCATAACTGTATCTTGTGGGCCACCTCCCTTGTGTGCTTATGTATGCATGCTTATGTGTGCATGTGCATATCCGTGCATGTCCCATGTGTAAATGGCTCTGTTGCCCAGGCTCTACAGGCTGGCACTACCACCAGTAGAGGCTGTAGCCTGGGGTGGGGCCAGGTGAGACCAGGCTGAATCCCTTGGCCGTTGACAGTTGTATTTACAGAGCTCCGAGTAGGACATAATTGCTTCTATTAATCTTTTTCTGGTTGTTAATTGCTCACTTATCGGGTTGTGTATTATGCCGACTGTTGCTCTTAATTCTCCTCCATAGCTGCAGGTGTTTCCTGCCTTATTAACTGTTAATCGGCGCAGCTAGGGATAGAGACTTAATTGGCCCCCAGAGTGGGACACAGGCGGGCCAACCGGGCACTGCAAGATTCTCAGCCTGTCCCTGGAACTCTCACCTGTGGAGCACAGGTGGCTGCAGGAAAGGGGCTGGCCTACTGCCAGCAGACAGCATTCCTATATGCAGCAGTTCCCTGTGACAAGTGCAAGGAATGGGCCCTTGTACAGTCCTACCTCCTCCAAGGAGCAACAGAACAATCAGAACCCAGCTCCTATACCCCCCTCTCCATCACCAACAATCTTCTAACCAGGATAGAAGCCAGTCTCGTTTATTTTAATTACCCAAACCTGACAACAACACTGACACACAATGGAAATGGCTCTTACCTTTTACCACTTTTTCTGCCTCCCCTATGACCCTAGCAATCAAGGCTCTTAAGGATACAGAGACACTGGGAGAAAGGAGGGCAGGAAGGAGCCTCCACTAAAGTAAAGACAGAAGTTAGACCCAAGAAGAACTTCCCAGCCTTTGAGGAAGCTATTGCAGCAGTTGGAGTCCAGACAAGCTCCCAGGAGGGAGTTCTTGTGCTCCATCTCAGCCATACTTCTGCTTGTGCAGCTCCAAGAACAGGGGATGCGTTCACTCCACTGCACTGCCACGCCGCAGCAGTGAGAAAAGTTCTAACACTGAGTTTACTCCTCCCATATATGTAGCAGCAGAGAAGCCTAAAGTGTCCACAGTGGAGAACCTGAAGGCCAGCAAGGGCAAGTTAGTGACCCCGGGATTCCTCAGTCTTCTTCGTTTTTGGTTTTGGCTGGCTCAGACTGTCTTAAGGGTGGGTTTGGTAAGGCAGGTGGAGGCGGGGATCTCCAACCAAACCTTGGTATCCTGCACCTGACTGCATTTGCATGAGCAGGTGCTTAAACAACTGAGCTAATGGGCAGCCCTCCTCACCCCATCCTCTACGCTAAGGCTCAGACACACTACAAAGTTCCTTCTCTCTGCCTAATATCTCTTTCCCAGGGGATGGATGGTCTCAGCTCCCACCTCTCAGTCATCCAGGATCCAGCGCCTGTGGGCTGGGAATGCAAGGTTCCTGGAAACAGTGGGCTCCATGAAAGAGGCAAGGCCGGAAGAGGGTGGGGGGCCCATGGTGCACCAACCTGGCTTCCAGTCTCCAACAAGGACAAACAGGCAAACTAAGAGTCCTCATCCTGTACCTGGAACACAGTCTTCCCATTTGACATGTGAAAGTTCTTCCTAGTTGTCCTGTCTGGAGCTGCAAAGGAAGATGATCTGCTTTAACTGGGTTCTGAAGGACACTGGGCTGTACAAGAGAGGAAGAGGGGAAGCAACCCTTACATCCTTACTTTGTGCCAGGGACAGACAAACATGTGTGCAAGAGGCATCCCATTTAACCTGAAAATAACTTAGTGAGTTAGGGATTTGTGTCCCCACTAACAGAGAAGGAAACTGAACGACAGGGAGGGGCACTAACTCAAAGCCACAGAACCAGGACAAGGTAAAATTGGGGTTCCCTCAAGACTTGGAATTATTTAGGGAGCTGAGTATGTCAGGATCCCTGGCGAATTCATGCTAGTGGTTCAGTAAAAGAACTTAAGAGATTGGGAGGTGGTGGTCACTGTCATAGCTTACCCACCTAACCCAAATCTGGGAACGCTGAGAAGCAAATACACAGGTGCAGTCCACATGGCCATCAGGCAGGACAGAGCAAAGGGAACTACCAGGGGTAGTTGCCCAAACAAGTTCTGGCCCCACCTCTATGTTAATGGAATGCAAATATATGTAAATTTTCACAAGCAACAGCTCAAACCTTTGGGAGCAATGGGGTGACACAGGAGCAGTTGCCATGGAAATCCAAAAGCGACCCCACAACCCGCACCAGCAGGCGCGAAGACCCAGGGTTCCTCGCTCAGGTGCCCAGGGCATCACGGAGTGGCAGAGGGTGTGAACCGGAAGGACCCTCAGAGACTGCATCCAGCCGAGGGAAGCTGACACCGCCGGGAAGTAGCGGCGGGAACGCGCAGTGTCACCATCCTGGCCGGCTGCGCTTTCTACTAAACCGTTCCGGTAGTGGGCCTAGGGACTCCAGCTCCGGCCTAGCAACGCGGAAGCCCTGCCCTGGGTTGCATAGCAACGTCCCTAGAGCCTAGCAACCGCCGGCCACGCCCCCTGCAACGTCACGCCTAAACTGCGCTCCCGGTTCTTTCCAAAAGAGAAAGGCCAGGGGCTTGTGGATGAAAGCCAGAAATGTGAGTGGGGGTAGTGTAGTTCAGTTCCCACTACTAGGCAGACTGCAGTATTTCGGGATCCACGCAGAGGAAGTGTTAAAGGGCAGCATTAGCATCCCCATTTACAGAAGGACAAACTGATGCTCAAAAAGAAGGCCCTCCCCAGAGGTCACAGTTTGGTCTTGCCCGTATACCCCGGAGGGAGCAAGTGCTCCTCCGTCACTCCATGAGCCTGGGAGGAGGGATGCGCTGCCATCTTCCTGCCCAGACTGCGTTGGGAAAACCACCCAAGTTGCGGACTTCCGAAGCAAGCTGCAGGTTTGCATAGTAATTTGCATCATTTGCATACATTGCGGAGGCAGTGGCGGTCTCTCTCCCCTCCAAGACAGGAAAGTTCCTCAAGGAGCTCCTGTTGGCTTCCCGGGTTCACCAGCTCCTTCTCCTGGCCCCCACCCGCACTCCATCCTCACCCGTCTGCCAGTCCTTCCTAAATTCTCTCACCCCGCCCCCAGTTCATCCTCAGTCCTGCCAGCCCTGACCTCCATCCCAAGGCTGAGGGCCCCCTCTGCTGTTAGCCGCGGGTAGGGCAGCATAGAACACGAGGCTCACGGAAGAAGGTGCTCCAATAGACAGCCCTTACCCTCTTGGTCCTGCGGGGTTTAGAGCGAAGCCCACACACAAGTGGACTTGGAGAAAGGCAGAGCACAGGGGAACCCCTCTAGGATCTGGGGTGAAAAGTGGTGTCCTACCAGGGTTGTCGCCCCTCAGCCAGGCCAACTTCTTGGCTCTGGGCTGTGTCACCAGGGCCAGTTCACCCTCAAAGGGGAGGGCCACCTTGAGACGCATTACAATTCTAGCATCTGCAAGCAGCTCGCCCAAGCCAAGGCCAAGCAGCACCTTCCGTGCCTAAGCATCTGCCTCCAACCCCCGAAGCCTAGACCCTTGCCTTTCTTCAACCTTCCTGGGAGCTGACAAGAGAAAAAAAGTCACCTACAACTGAGATCTGCACCGAGAGGTGCTCAGACACAGATACCCACAAGTGCACACAGAGGGGATAGGGTGACGTTTTGTGCTCTCTTCCCGTTGATAGGTAGGTGGGGTCCTGGTACTGAGAAGTTCAAAAACCACCGCACTTTGCCTTCCAGTTTGCTCCCTAGCAATCCCTGGGAGCCCCTTGAAAGCCTCCCTCTACTACTCTCCCTCTCCACAGCCTGGTCTTTCCTGCACTCCCATCACCAATCTTTCCCCACTCAATATTTGGAAAACGCTTCCAGATGCCTCCATGGCAATAGCTGTGCTCTGGAGCACAGTCATGGTGTGTTTGGGACCAGTGACTGGTAAGGTCGCACATCTGTACGTGAAAAAACTCCCAGAGACACCCTAAACCATTTGGCTGGGACTACATTCTCTCCGAACCAACCAACAGATGCAACCCTAACTTTGCCAAATTCTTTATTAAACTAAAAGCCAACAGCAAACAGATTAACGAACAGGAAACAAACAGGCAGATAGGGAAAACTGCCCCTCACCTCCCTTCACCAGGTTCTTCTAGCGGCTTCTCGCCTTGGTTCAGCACTAGAAAGGGAATCGAAATCCCTGTTCTAATGGAGTAACCAGCATCAGGCCTTTTTAGGAAAGGGACACTCCGTGTCAACGGTCGGGCCCAAGGAAGTATGAGGGGCTGGGCTAGGGGTCTCTGGAGCTGTGGGGGGCTGGCAGCACAGACTGTAAGTCCCTGGGGGTATAGGGGGCTGAAGAAATGCTACAGGGGGTGGGAAAATGGGATCCTGACCTGAGGGGTGCAGTAAGGCTTGGAACTGGTGATTAAGGTTCACTAGGAACTTGATGTTCTGGTTGAGGACTTGGTGGGGGCAAAAGGCCCTGTGGACATGCTGGTCATAACCAGAGCCATTGGCAGCTGGCATTGCTAAATGCAGATGTTGGGGCAGGCACCGGCCTGGTTTGGGGGGCTCTTTTCCTCGGCCATGACACTGCCAGGTTTCAGCCTCTGCCCATGGTTTCCCCCTGCCTCTGGGGAACTTCCACCAAGCACAGACTCCCCTTGGAGACAGGCTGTCTCCATTCTGGCTCTGCTGCAGGTTAGCCTCTGGGGGAAGAGGGCCTTTGAGGGCCCTATCTGGCTCCCTGTTGTCTGGCTGGTAGAATCTGAGCTCCACTTCCTCCTTAAAGGACACTCTCTTCCGAACCTTCCCCCACTTGGTGTTAGGCATAGCTCTGTTTGGGAGCCCTTCCCTAGGGAGTAGCACAGCCAGCAGCAGGCTTGAGTGAGTGATTTCCAAACCTGAGGAAAGAAAGAGGGAGAGACACATAGACTCATAGAGCTCTGGGGCACTCAGGAATCAGTTTCCATAGACTGGTGGGAAGACAACAGAACTCCCAAAGTCACATTGTATCTGCCACAGTCAGATCCCAAGCAGAGCTTCCCTGCAGTGCCAGGGACCCAAGGGAGGCTGAGAAAGTGGGAGGGTGAAGGGTCAGGGAGACAGCTCAGCAGACAAAGTGCCTGTTTAGGCAAGCACAGGGACTGGGGTTCAATCCCCAGCACCACATGGCGTGCAGGCCCCGCCCCCAGGCGTGCTGAGCTGGCCGAGTCCAGGCATGGTGGTGCACGCCTGTAATCCTCATACTTGGGAGGCTGAAAACAGGAGGATCACTATGAGTCTGAGCTGTGTAGTGAGACCCTGTACCAAACACATTAAAAAAAAAAAACCCTCTTATGTCAAAGAAAGAAAGAGAAAGGAAAGGAAAGAGAAAGAGGAAGGGAAGTGAAGGGAAGGGAAGGAGGGAGGGAGGGAGTGAGGAAGGAAAGAAGGAAGGGAGGGAAGGGGAGGGGAGGGCAGAGGAGGGGAAGGGAGGGGAAGGGAGGGAAGGGAAGGGAAAGGAAGGGAGAGGCTGTCTAGGAAGATGTACTCTTAGCGAAATCAAGGTTCTGGCTGATGGTGGGACATGGAGGGACAGACTCCAAGGCTCTGTGGATTCAAAGTCTTAATTCATTGTTGAAGGCCATGTAGCCCAGAGAAGCCAAGTAATTTGTACCAAATGTCCACCCTGGGCGTCCCCAGCCTTCTTCCCTAGGTGCCTTCCCTGAAGTAAACACTACAGTGGCCAGACTTGGCCCAGCATGGCTTTGGTGAAACATTTGTCCCTCCTGTTGTTAGTGACAGTTTCAATTTGTGCATCGTATCTTGGTTCAGCTGCCCCTGGGTCAAACGGGGCTGTCCTAGGCTTCTATTTGGCAGTGTCTAACTGGGAGGCAGTGTGGTGGGGTACTCGGAACCAGTTTCCGGGGCCAGGCTGCCTGAGTGTGAGCCTGCCTCTGCTACTGACTGGCCGTATGGCTTTGGGCAAGGCATTTGCCTTTTCCCTACCACAGTTTTCTCATTTGTGAAATAGAAAATCTAAGAGCACCACTCTGATAGGACTATCCTGAGACTAAAAGGATGCATCTAGGGAAAGAGTTTTGGGTGCACATGCTTAGCATGGATGAGGCCCAGGGTTCAATGCCAACCACTGAAAGAAGAGGAGAAAGAGGAGAGAAAGAAAACAATGACAACTTCATCCAGGTAAAGCTTTTTGGCTGGCACTCAGTAACACACAAGTATCAGCTATTATCATTTTGGCAGTGCTAAGAATCAATCCCTCAACCACACACACACACACTAGGAAGGTGTTCTGCACCGAGCCACACCCCTAGCCTGAGCTCTTGCTGTTCTCTCTGTCACATCTGCACGTGCGGGCATTCCCTTCTGAAATGTGCGTCTCTGCTGAGGCATGGATGACTGTGCCTGCTCTCCGAGCCAGGGGAGGCAGGGGTGCTGTGGGCACTGGACACTCACCCGGACCGCCCAGAAGGCGCAGTGTGGTGGGCAGCGGCTTGAAGGCAGGCAGGGGCAGCAGGACCACCCTCATGTGCTGCACTGAGGTCAGTACATGGCACTGCTTGTTGTTGAGGTAGGAGTACAGCATGTGACAGTTCTGGGTGTCCCGAGTGCTCTGGGGACACAGTTTGACCACAGAGATATCCTACAGGTGCAGGAGGAGAACAGCTGAGGAGCGATGATCCTCTGCCTGAAGACATCTAGCCCTCTGAAAACTGCCCCCATTTCCCAGGAGAGGAAGCAGAGAGACCTGCCCAGAGACCCTCAGTGGGTCTGCAGTCACATGTGGAATTAGACCTGGGCTTCCCAAACCAGCCTTGGTGCACCACAGATTGAGAGGGATGGAGTGAGGGGGAGAATATGGGGCCAGGAGAGAAGGGTGCCTGAGAGCTGACAGTTACCTTGGCCTCAGCTGAAGAGACAGTGGTCAAAAGGTCCCACACAGTGTTAGGGGGAATACAGCCTGCTGAGCGAATCACCTCGGGCAGAGCCTGGGGGGGTGGGAGAGATGGCCTCAGCCCTCAGCTTCCCCTCCCTTTAGGCAGACTCACTCCCAGCCACATGGAAGGAGGCCAAAGCCTGAAGCAAGGAAGATGGGTAGGCAATAACAGAACTCTCAGCAGCTTCCCAGAGATCTCTAATCACTCCAGAGGCCCTTAACTGGTCCTGCCCAACCTCCTATAGCATCTCAAAAGCCCCTCACTCCCTCAACTAACAGGCTGTCCTCATCCAACACTTTAACTGATCAAGTCATTCAACAATAACTTCTAACTCTCCCCTGGGCCAGAGAGGCACCAGACATCTCTCCCAGGCCCTTCTTGCTTTGAAATGCTTCACCTTCTATGTCTCCTCAGAAGTGGCGCTGGCATCTCATCTGTCCTGATGCCTAGCACGAGGCCAAGCATCAAGAGGGCAGAGCGAGTAACAGAATACACGGGTGAATGAGTAGCCAGGTGAGGCACTCCCTGGGGAGCGTAGGAGGGAGCCCCTGGGGAGCAGAGCAGGCAAACCTGGATGAGCCGACAGCTGTGTCCTGAGACCAGCTGGGCCTTGGCTCGGAACCGCTTGATGGAGAACATGTCAATTACCCCCTCCCAGGGAGGTGGGCTGGGCCCGGCCTTTGTAAGCCCAGCAGACATCTGGTACCTAGAGGGAGAAACAGATGGTCAGGGTTAAGTAGAGTGGGTCATCAGGATCATTCTGTACCTCCTTCCTTTCCAGAGCAGGTGTTGCATCCCCATAGTAAGGGCCAACACTGGTCCAAGTGTAGTCTTGGGAAGGGAGGAGTTGGGGTGATCTAGTCCCCTGTATACATGGGGAAACCAAGGCAGAAAGACTTGCCCATAGCAACACAGGAGGAGAAGCCCATGCTGTGTGTCTGCTGCCCCAGCCGGTGGACTCCCCCACTCATCCTGCAGGGTTGCCACTTCCCAGCCCCAGCCCACACCTGTCCTGGGGCTCCATGGATGGTGTCTCCCTGGTTCTGGGCATCTCCGGAGAGGACTCAGGAGCTGGGCTTGGGTCTCTCTGGAGGACACTGTTCTCCCTGCTCCTAGAGGCTCTGGAGAAGCCTAGCAGCTCACTCGGAGACTCTGCAAACAACAGAAGCAGGAGCTGAAATAGGCAGGCAGAAGAGGGGGGCACCCCAGCACCAAGAGCCCGGGCTTGAAGCAGGCCCCTCCTGCACCCCTGCACCTGCACCAGTGTGGCAGTCTGGGTCCTGCACGTGGTGATCGTGCTGATCCGTGATGTCCCCTAGCAGGGCAGGCAGGTCCTGCAGGCTGCAGTCTCCAGACACCACAGGTCCCTGTGAGGCACAGGAGCAGGAAGGGACAAATAAAGTGACTGTGAAATCAGGGAGAGGGAGCATCTACGGGTAGGGAGCCTGAGGATGTGGTTTATTTTCTTAATAACATTTTTATCACAAAATAGTTAGCAACTCGTTAAAAAAAAAGTGGAAAATCCAATACTTGTAAAAAATTTTAAAAATTCACTCTTTGTCACACCATTCAAACAACAGTTGATGGCACCTTCATGATAATTCCTCTATACACCGGGACAGGAGAGGGGGGTCCTTACACCAAAATAGCTGGGGTCAAATATTCAACTTTGTATCCTTCTTCTGTCCATTAACTGTAGAAAAGGCCGTCACCACATTATCTAGCCCCCTAGTGGTATCATTGATGGGGCAGGCCATAGTATACTTGTCATTTCTGTTACCTCTGGGCCATTTCTGGGTTTTCTCTATTATGACTAACACTTAAGCACTTTTTTTTTTTTTTTTTTTTTGAGACAGGGTTTCACTACACAATTCAGGCTGGCCTTAAACTCACTTTGTAGTCCAGCCTGGCCTCAAACTCACAGCAATCCTGCCTCAGCCTCCTGAGTGCTGGGATTACAGGCATGTGCTACCATGCCCAGCTACTTGAGGATATCTTGACACAGAAAATATCTTCCTAAATTTTATACTCCTTCCGTGGGTCAAGTTCTCAGAAGCAGATCACAGAATCGGGGAGGATATTCGTTTTAAAGGCCCTCGATAGTCAGGCATGGTGATGCACACCCCTAATCCAGTACCCTGGGAGGCGGAGGCAATAGGATTGAAAGTCCAAACCTAGCCTGGGCAAGCTAACAACCCACTGCCTCAAAAAATAAAAATGGTGGTGATGGGGGAGGGGGAACAAGGCTGGGGGTGGAACTTAACACAAAGGCCCTGGGTTCAATACACACACACACACACATTGCTTTAGGAAGGCATAAGAAGATTCTGAAACTCTGGCCTCACCTTGTAACTACCTCGAGAGCAGTGCCACGGTGTGGCCTGTGGAGCCAGAGGCCCAGGCTGAAATCTCAGCTCTAGTACCACATACTGTGTGACCCAGGGCTAATGGTTTCCAGGTCCTCATTGAGAAAACGGCATGGTCTCAGCCCTCACCACGTAGGTCACTGTGTGGTCTGAATAAGGTGCCATTGGTAAAAGGACACACAGCAAGAGTCCAGGCAAGTAAAGATTGTTTTTGTGTGTCCTTTCCCCTCCCTTTTGCGCTGTCTCCTCCATCTTCCCCTCTCCTGGGGCTGAGGGCTTCTCTCTCTGTCTTCCCAGCTCCTCCCTACAGGGACACTGGTTTTATTCAGGAAATGGAGCCTGACGTTGCTTGGGGAGCACCCACAACCCCTCAGGACGTGGCTCTGCACAGGACGTGGTTCTCCTTGGCTTGGATGTGGTGGTGGCAGAAGTGCAGTTTCATTTATTGTGTTCTCTGCCATTTCCCCAGTGCCCATCACCCAGCAGGTGCTCCACAAATAGGTACTGAGTACACAAATAAAGAGCTCAGGGCCTGTCCCACGCCCCTCATTCCTGGTCACACAGCTGACCCTGGGAACACCCAAACCAAGCCAGAGTGGCCTTCTTCTGAGAGTGACCGATGTGAGCCGAGGGGAGGCTCTAGGCGTCCCGTTCATGGCTCCTGAGGCTGTTGAGCATCCCTGTGAGGCCCTGTGCAAAATGGAGCCAGGACAGGACGGCGTACACAAGGGCTGAGCCCATTCCTGGGGTGAAGGAAGGCCTAGACTCTGGGCCCTCCTCCAAGAGCCAGGGCAAGTTGCAGGAGGCCCTCTGGCCCAGCTGGCCTGGGTGCTGGGTGGGTCCTGCCCCAGCTCAGCTCCAACCCACCAAATACACCAATTTTCTTCCTTACAGCTGGAAAAATCATGGCATGAAAAAGGGGGGAAAGACCCAGGCCATGCCCACCTGGGCCCCATGCAGAAAGGGTCACTGTTCCACTTTACCACAAGCACAGCCAGTTAGTGGGGTGATGAACCGCACTCCTGGGCTTGGGCCTCACCCAACACCAGCTCAGGCCCCACTTACTGGGTATTCCAGGGTCAGTGTCTGGTCTGTGTCCCGAAGAATCTCCACCTCGCCCTTGTGGGTCAGTTTAGAGGTCGGAAGGCCACGCAGCTCCTTCTGTTGCTGTGCAATGATCTCTAGTTCCTGGACCGGTTCAGCAGGGTTAGAGCAGTCTCTGGCCAGCACTGAAGGCCTAGGAGCTCCTTTCTCCCTAGAAGACCTCCTGCTGGGCTCCCTCCTGATTCAGCCACCACCCAGCCTCCCTGCCTGCTTCTGCTGCTCCTCTCACCTGGAAAGCCTGCCACCTTCAGCTCTGCCTAAGGGCTCAACTCATTCACCCTTCAGCTCAAAACCTGCCTCCTCCAGAAGCCTTCCTGGACTTCTCTTTCCTCTGCAAATCAATTCTGTCTCTGATCTCACCTCCCCGTGTCTTGGGAAGACTGAGGAAGAGAGGAAATTTCCAGAGCAAGCTCTGAGTCTCAGAGGGCTGTTAATAAAGGTAGTATGGCCTTGGGCCAGCACTCAGTGCCTTCAGCCTCAGTTTATCTGTTCTCTGGTGATTAAATTAAGAGCATTACATTAAATAGCACATGCAAGCTGGGTGTGATGTTGCAGGTCTGCAATCCTAGCACTTGGGGGGAGGCTGAGGCAGGAGAATGACCAGAGTTCAAGGCCCGTCTGGGCTACAAAACGAGTTCAAGTTCAGCCTGAACTGCACAGTGAAACCCTGTCTCAAAAAAGGCAAAAGAAAGAAAGAAAGAAATACAAATAAGTAAGTGAGTAACATGTACAGAAGGCCCAGCCTAGGCTGAGGCCCTTGATAAATGCTGCCTGATTCTGTCCGTCAATGTCATCCCACCTGAAATGTTTCTCAAAGGCGCGCTGTGCCTTTCCTAACACTGCTGGAAGATGGGGTCCTACTTCCCTGCAGTCCCACAGGGCCCTTCACTTAGTAGGGCCCTTGCTTGGTTTAATGCCTTGCTGTCATCACCTTAAAATTCTTCGTGTTTATTTTATTTTTTTGGTGGAACTGAGCATTGAACTCAGGCCCTTGCAAGCTGCACTGACCCCGACAAATCACCCAGCCGGCCCTGCCCGTCCCCACACAGCACCTGGACAGAAGCTCAGCCACAAGGGGACAGTTCCACTTCATGGACTCTGGTTATGAATTCTGACCAGCAGCGTCTTGCAGACCAGCACCTCAGCCCCTGCCCTGCGCCAGGGCCGCAGCCCTTGGTCAGGTGGCCACTACCACGCATCAGGTGAAATGTTCTCCAGAGCCGGCTCGGCCCACGCTTTCCTTGTGCCCAAGAGTTCCCAGAACCCAAGGTCTATGGGGACAAAACTATGGAGTGTGGGGGCCGGGGGGTGCCCCAGCCTGGGACACCAGGAAGATCTGTGGCTTTTTCTGAGATTTTGAGGCTGAGACAAAGGGAGAGGAGCCCCCAGGGACTTCCTACACTGGACTTCAGACTCAGGCGCAGTGGTGGCAAACCTATGGCGCAAATGCCACAGCAGGCCGTGTGGATCACTGAAAGCTTTAAAACGTTCACCAGCACTGCTCTGGACTATCTCTGGTTGAGCTCCTCCTGCCTCGTTACCCAGTCTGGCTCCACAAGAAACCAAGAACATCACCTCCAGCAGAGCCCCTGTCCCCAGTGCCTTGCATGCCTAATCTTTTCTTACTTTTCTACCAGGAGGGTCTCTGCCTCTCCCCCCACCTGCCTTCTGGCTTCAGTTCCCATTCTCTGCCTGGTCTTCCCTGCCTCTCCTTCTGCCTCCTACTCGGCTCTTTTCCCCACTCTTGGGCCACTCTCTCCCTCCATCATGCCACCCCCCAGCTCCACACTGCTCACTTTTTTCTCCTCCTGGTCCCGCCAGCGGGCCAGCTCCTGGGAAGCCATCTGCACTGAGCTCATCTGAACCAGGTCGCGGGGGGTGACATTTCCATGAACCACTTTGAGAAACAAGTCCTACAGGGACCAGGGACAGAGACCACACACACCACTGAGCACTCCTGCCCCAGAGTCCTGCCAGCACAAGGTGCCCTGGAAGCAGAGCCTGGCCCAGGTCAAAGCCCCACTCACCGGGTTCCTGGGGTCACGCAGGTTGAAGAGCAGGCTGCGATACTTGCTCTTGTAGCGGCAGCTTATGCCCCATGTGAGGTCAAAGAGGGCTGCTTCGATATCAGCAGCAACGCCCTTCACCACCTCCTCACTCAGCCCCAGGTTGGGAAGCTCCTGAACGCTGTGGGGACGACGGCAGGGCCGAGGGCACATGGTACCTGTGGTTATCCAGGCCCTTAGCCCCAGGGGGAGACATGAGTGGAAACAGGATCTGGGCCAACTGACTTCTGTTATGGGCATTTTCCTATAAGGGCCTATTTAATCTCACCTCAGATCTTTGAGGAAGAAATATGGCTGCTCTCCCTTCACAGAGGGCTGAAGGGAAGAGTCCAGAACCTTGACCCAGCTCCCCTGACCAGTGGCAAAGCAACATTCCAATCCAGATGCCTCAGTCCATACTGTCCCTGCCCCCCAGAGCTGGCGAATGTGAGGAGGGGAGGAAGAGGTACAAGGCATCAGCCAAGAGGAGGATGGGGGCGACCCTGAATCTGCCACTGATTTGTTTTTGTTTTTTTTTGTTTGTTTGTTTTTTGTGGAACCAGGGATTGAACTCAGGCCCTTGTGCTTGCCAGGGAAGCGCTTATTCTACTGAGCCATCTCCCTGGCCCCATGCCACTGATTTGTTGTGTGGCCTCTGCAAAGCCTTGCCCTCGCTGAGGCTTGGTTCCACCATCAGTCTTGATTTCCAACTCTCAGACTCATTGTGCCTGGAAGCATCTGCTCCACAGACACCCACAGGACCTATCAGTCATAGAGAGCTGCAGTATCATAGGCAGTAGCTAAAGGGAAAGCAAGATCTTGAAGCCAGAGCCACTCGGTTCAAATGCTGGCTCTCCACCAGTTGGCTGTGTGGGCCAGCGAGCTCCAAGCTACCAAGTGGGGTTAGTCACACACACAGAAGCCCTCAGTGCACTGCCAAGCCCGGGAGGCATCAGCCCTCAGAAAGGTGGAGAAGCAGGGCCAAGGCCTTACCGACTCCACAGCGCCTCCCACAGGACATGGACCACAGTGGCTCGGATCTGAACATCCAGGGCGATTGTCTCCTCTTCAGACTGAAGCTGAGCTGTGGAGAGAGACTTCAGTGCTCCAGGGCATGAAGAGGGGGAAGACCTGAGCGGCTGAGGCAGACAAGCAAAGGATCCCCCCTCCCCATAGGTCTAGGAGTTGAGCACAACCAGCCAGCAGCCCCCACCTCTTTGGGGAGGACTTTAGGCTGATGAGGAAGGGCACAAAAAAATTCTAGTCAGGGCCACCTGGCCCCTGAATCTTCCCACTCCCAGCAGCCCCTCCACAGCTCTCACCTGGATTTTCTGCCACCCCTGGAAGAGTTTCCCCATTCACAGTCTCCTCTGGGCCATCCTACAGGGGGGAGGGAGAAATTGAGGCCCAGCCTGAGGCCCAGAGGACCTTGTTGCTTGTCTGCTCCTACCTGTTCCCTGCCCCACATGAGGGCCACATGGTAGGGACAGCCACACTCAACCCTGGACATTCAGTCACAAAGACGGGGACCCTGAGGGGCAAGGATCAGCTCTTCTGAGAGAGGGAGGTGCCAGAGAAGCCCCCAGAGGCCCCTGGTGTCCCTCCTGCTGCAGGACATGCTGGTCACCCAGGACTGAAGACCTGCGACAGCCTCTCTAGTGCTCCCACCAGCCAGCTCCTCTGTACACCATCTACCAGCTGGGAGACAGGAGCTAAGCCACACCTGGCCATCCTGTGTGACACTGAGCAAGCAACAGCCACCTTTCTAACCTCAGCAAGAGCTCTGTGCATCACGCAGTAGCTTCCCAGTAGGACTAAGCGATGTCACCTGGGTGGGGAAGCCAGCTGCGTACCTGGCCTCCAGCAGGGCCATGAGCTGCCGACCTTTTCCTGGTTCTGGGTTTCTGGTAAGGTGAGGCCGAGCTGATCTCCATAAACTTCTCCATAGCCTCCAGCTGTGGCAGCTGCTGTCCCCCTGCCTGGCTGAAGGTGATTGCTCCTTGCAGTTGGATCCCTGTCCCAGAATCTACCTGCAGGAGAATGCACCCTTCAGCACATGCACCACAGAGGTGGCCTCATCAGCCAGCCTGTGTAAGCTTCATGAGGATGGGCAGTATGCCTGTCTTGGTGTCCACTGTCCTCCCAATGTCTGCAAAAGGCCTGGCACTTAAAGGGCTCAATAAACACCTGTGGACTGCTTCTGCCCCAGGAGAAGAGTTGTCCCATTCTTGCCCTCTCCTCTTCCCCTCTGGGCCCAGCACATTCATGGTGGACTGGACCCTGCTCTAGGATTCTTCTCATCTTTCTTCCGACCAGAGATGTACTTCGTGGAGACCCGCCTGCTCCCACTCGAAACTCAGTCATACCGCTTTCAGGGTCACTAACTTGCTCTTTGCCCCTCCCCAGAAGCAGCAGCACATAGCCATCCCCCTTCTGAAGGCTGATGACCACTCCTCTCTTGCTCCAGAGAGAAATCCTTCCATGACCACTTAGGATGCAGAACCCATGTTGGTCGTTTAGTGAGCTACGGAATCTAGCCTGCTTGCTTTTTTTTTTGCTGTGGCTGCTAGGAAACTCAGTATTAATTTTGAACCCAAAAATATACACTTCTAGAACTGATAAAACGTAAGGGGTTGCTAGAACAAGACTTGCCATCTCCTTCTCCCTTCCTTTGTTTAGGCTTTTATTCCATTTTAAGCATGATTCCTTTAACTTTAACTCCACACCACAGATGTTATTTTGAAAGGAGGTGTGTCCAAAAACTAACCCTTGAATGAATGATCATAGAATGGTCAGGTTGCAAAGTAAGTGGGAAGCTAGAAATCTAAGCTTCAGCTTCATGGAGAAAGGGGAGTATGAGGCTGTTTGAGAAGGGGTCAGGCCAGGGGACAGGCTGCTTCTGCCACCCACCACCCCTGAGCAAAGGGAAGAAGAGGACAATAACAGAAAAAGTAAAAACCTACGTAACACACATGCTTCACCCCACAGAGCATTTTTGCTTCCTCCTTAGAGCAAAAGAGAATACAGAGATTAGAATCCAAAGGACCCTGTGAGCCCCTGGCAGGGAATTCACAGGAAGATGCTCTTTCTGAAAGGACATACAGCATTCACTGGGTTGGCATTTGTAAACAAATCCAAAGCTGGGCACAATCCAATGTCCATTAAAAGGAGAATGGTTAATAAATGGTAACATATCACACTATAAATTTAATGTGGCTGTTAAAAAGGGTGAGGGAGTCATAATAAAAACTGCCTGGGGGCTTATTAAGTAGCCAACAGGGGGCCGGCAAGATAGCTCAGCAGACTAAGCACCAGCTTAGGCAAGCGCAGGGATTAGGGTTCGATCCCCAGTACTGCATGCTGTACTGAGCCGGCCACTGAGACCAGGCATGGTAGTGCATACCTGTAATCCCAGTGCTAGGGAGGCTGAAAACAGGAGGATCACTATGAGTACAAACTGTGTAGTGAGACCCTGTACCAAATACATTAAAAAAGAAAAAGCCAGCGGTGGAGGAGGCACATCATACATAATCTTATTAAGGTTCAAAACAACACCAGGAAGATTTATTGTTTCTCCTCTCCTGCTTTACAAATGAGGAAACTGAGGCTCAGAGGGGCTCTGAAGTCCCACAGCTACTAGGCTGCACAGCAAGTGATAGATCCTAGTTCTGTCTGACTCCAACACCCCAGCACCTAACCACTGGGATGTGAAAAGACATCATAATATATTACTGGGAGAAAAAGAAAGAAAACAGGTTAAGGAACAATGTTGCATAAGCCCATTTATGTAAATATGTATTTATAGATGTGTAATAGAAGTTATCTCTGGGGAATGAAATTCCAGGGAGACTTTCATTTGCTACATGTACACACTTGGGATATTTATGTTATTCAAAATAAGCACATATTTCTTCTATAATCAGAAACATATTTTTATTAAAAAGCAAGTGCAGAGCAGTATGCATAGTGTGCTACCATTTGCGTTACAGAGAGAATGAAATTTTAAATTTGTGTTTGCTTGAATACGCATAAAATATCTCTAGAAGTATCCACAGAACCTAATCACCCGCTGCCAGTAGGGAAGGGCCTGGGTGCCGGAAGGGAGCTTTTCTCTGTTCTTTTTTTTTTTTTTAAACTATAAGAATGAATCAGCCTTTCATAAAAGTAATTGAGAAAGGAGGAAAAAAAGGAAAACGGGGCTTCTGGGGGAAAAGGCAGGAGAGATAGTAAGACCAGCCCTTCACAGCTTAAAGCCTTTTCCTAAGCCTTGTCCTCAGGGGTCCCTAACATCAGTGTTTCTGCTCAAAACGACGGGCAGCAGAAGAAGCAAAAACTTTAGATGTGGGGTGTATCAAGCCAGAATACAAAATATGCATGTGTAATATGTTCAAAGAAATTAATAGGAGTCAAACATATGAAAGGCAAAATCCCCCTACCCTAACCCCCCCCCCAAAAAAAAATAGGCAGATTTAGTTGGGAACCAAAAACTTCTGGGAATAAAAAATATGAATATAATTAAAATTTTAAACTATGTAGCCAGGCATGGTAGCACATACCTGTAATCCCAGCACTTCAGAGGCTGAGGCAGGAGAATTACTGCGAGTCCAAAGTCAACTTGTGAACCTAAGGCCACAGCGGAACCACATACGTAGACCTTGTCTCAAAATAAGTAAATAACTCTAAGTATAGGGTTAATAAAAAGTATCTGAGGGCTGGGGAGATGGTTCAGTGGAATAAACGCTTCCCTGGCAAGCACAAGGGCCTGAGTTCAATCCCCAGTTCTGCCAAAAAATAAAAATAATAAATAAATAAATAAATAAAAAGGGTCTGCTTACAAAAAGAAAAACTCAAAAAAGAAAAAAAGAAAAAGAAAAACTCTGTATGTATAGGTATAATAGGATATTAGATACAGTTGAAACAAAAAAGATGATAGGAACAGATGCAAATAAATCAGCAGCTAAAAGAAACTTAAATACTTAATACTTTAGATAAATACAAAATTACCAACTTTTTAAAAAACAAAAACTAATTGCATATAAAGATCTATTTCTATACCCCACACCTTTTTTTTTTTTGGTGGTACCAGGCATCAAACTCAGGACTTGTGCTTGCCAGGCAGACACTTATGTTACTGAGCTACATCCCCAGCCCTAAAGATCTATTTCTAAGGGCTGGTGAGATGGCTCAGTGGTCTAAAGCACCTACTTAGAACAAGCTTGGCAAAGCACAGGGACCGCGGTTTGATCCCCCAGCACCACATGCCCGCCAACCCCGCCCCCTGGTGGGCTGAGCTGGCCACACACACGCACACACACATACACACAAATAAATAAATTTATTTTTAAAAAAAAGATCTATTTCTAAAACTAAATGATACATTAAAAGGAAAAGTGGAGCAATACATGAATAAGAATATATCAGCCAAAATAAAGCTTTGTAATTATATTAATGTCCGATAAAACACATTTTATTTTCCTTTTCAGACAAAGTCTCACTATGCAGCTCAGACTGGCCTTGAGTTCACTCTGTGGCCCAGGCTGGCCTCAAGCTCACCATGATCCTCCTGGCTCAGCCACCGAGGGCTGGGATTGCAGGCATGAACCACCATGCCTGGGGAATAAAACAAACTTTAAGACAAAAGTGACTAGAAGCAAAGACCTCAAAATGTAACAACAAGCAGCTTTATCAGGACGCTGAAGCAACTCGAAATTTACAAGCATCCTGGGGGCCAGGGATATAGCTCAGTGGCATAAGTGCCTGCCTGGCAAGTGCAAGGTCATGAGTTCGATACTTGGTACCACAAAATAAAGAAATTTTAAAAAATAAAATAAATTTACAAGCGTCCTGTAACAGAATCTCAGAAACTGTATGGCAAAAACTGACAGGACCACAAGGAGACAGACAAATTCACCACAGTAATACACATACACCTTTTTGTTTTTTCCTTCCTTTCTTCCTGCCTCCCTTTTTTTTCCTTTCTTCCTTCCGTTTTCTTGCTATGTAGCTTGGGGTAGCCTCAAATTCCTCAGTTCAAGCAATTCCTCTCAATATATAGATATAGGACAACTATTAACCCAATTAACAAAATAATCAGTAATAAAGACTTAACAAAAGTAACATTAATCTGGCCAGAAAAAAACCCAAAAACCACATATGTATATATCACTATTCCTTTAAAAACTAGAGAAAAAAATATCTTTTCGAGTATACATGCAACAGGGCTGGGAAAATGGCTCAGTAGAATAAATTGCTTCCCTGGCAAGTGCAAGGGCCTGTGTTCAATCCCCGGTTCCACCAAAAAAAAAAAAAAAGAAAAAAAGAAAAAAAAAGTATACATGCAACATACATGAAAACTGAGGACAGTGTAGGCCATAAAGCAAAAATTAACAAATTTCAAGACTTTAATATTTTTTTACACCAGCACTGCCCAACAGAAATATAACAGTATCATTTAAGATAAAGAGGCAAGTAAAATTAATTTTATATTTTATTTAACTCAATATATCCAAAATGAGACCATTTCAGTATGTAATTAATATAAGAAACAACTGGGCCGGCGAAATAGCTCAGCAGACTAAGCGCCTGCTTAGGCAAGCCCAGTGACCGGGATTCGATCCCCGGCACCATGTGCTGTGCCAGGCCCACCCCCAGGTGCACTGAGGTGGCCCAGGACACTATGCACGGTGGCGTGCACCTGTGATGCCAATGGTGGGGAGGCTGAAAACAGGAGGATCACTATGAGAAAGAAACTATTAAGATCTTTTCCCTTTTTCGTGGTCCTAAGTCTTTCAAATCTGTTGTGTACCTTATGCATACGTTTGTCTCAACGTGGACTAGCCAAATTTCAAGTCCACAATGGACCCGAGTGGTGAGTGGCTACTTACAGCAGACAACTCAGAAATACCACCTTGTCTGATCACAGTTAGAAAACAATCACAAGAGCAAATGA